CCAGTGTCTTCGTTGGTGCAAGACTGGATGGGCTGCTTGCACCCCCTGCTATGAAAAACTAAGCAAATCCAGAAGGATCCCTATGACGCCAAGGGTTACACACACACACACGATTTCGGTTGAAAAGATATGGGGGACAAAATGGAACAGGAATAGACATGGGGATATGGGATTGAGTTGCAACCGGACAACAAAACAACAGGACACGCACACGCGTGTCCATGGCACTCAGGGATTCTAATGCCTTTCTCAGGTTTCAAGCTATTCAAACCCGGTTGAATCCGGGTCGTTGGAAGAAGTTCTTGGGCTTGACACTTTCCAAAACATGTCCACCCCAAACCCACCCTGAAGAGGTCGAATGAGCACGTATTCGACGTCCCACGGGGTGCCAGACCTCAGGATTGCTGAGTCCTTTTACCGGAGCACAGATTCGGGTACCCCGCATGGAAGCTGCTTGCGCTGGACGTTTCATGGAAGCCCTCCAGAAGACCGTGCGCCAACGAAGACATACCAGAGGAATGAACATGTTTGGAACGTGAATTGGGACAGACATGTCGTTGTTGGTCTAGAGTACACCGTCAGAAATCCCCAGCGCAACACATGCACAGCATTCTCTGTTGCATTCTGTTCAGGGGTATGTCTTAGCCTTCGATCGGACCCCGTGCAACCTTAGGGAGGACGCTTTCGAGAAGCAAGGATCCAAAGAAAGGGTCCCACACCCCTCAAGCGAGGCTGGCAGGTTCGGAAATCTTGTATTGCAGATGGGACACAGTTTTGGTTTGTTTTCAGCCGTGGACATGGGATAGAAACAGGGGCGATGTAGGCTGCCTGACTCATGCGACGTCTTGCCTCGAGTCTCGAGCTTTCTGATCAGACCGGCTGCCAGCGACCAGAAAGAAGATTTCAACTGTCAGAACATGGTCGGAATTCATCTTGTGTAATTTTGGTAATTTTGAAAGGTTTCTTTTCAATCACCCACAGGTCGGTGGATGCTTGAATGCGTGAAGTGCCCGGTGAGCTTGGACGTGACATCGCTGTGGCGTCACTTGTGGCCACTTGCAGGTACTCCAAAGTGAGAAGCATGACTCCCACGTGCTGAAACACATCCTAACTGCTGGGCTCCTCTTCTCACCAGAGGCCTTTGCAACTTGGCTCGGACAGGAAACGCCCTTCCTCGACGCAAACGCTTGACATGCGCCGGTCGACGCCCGAGCACACACCGCTTGACATCGCTTGACGCTTGACTCGTAGAATCAAAACAGAATCACGCCGGTCTGGCGGTTGGTGGTTTTCTTCGCAGTGGTGTCTGGGTTCAACTTGAGAGTGGTGTCTAGGATTCAAAAGTAGAAAGGTTTCAAAGATGATGAAGGGGGGCGAGCCCAAAACACTTCTGTTGACAAGTGCTGTGCTGCTTAGTGTCATTTTTTGACCCTGGTGAGGACGGCCCAAGGAAAAAGAAACAGTGGGATTATTATGGAATATTTGCCTACATTTGGGTGTGTGATCTGGATATGTTGGATCGGGTCAATGTAGTTTGGACAAGTTGGCCCATCTGAAACGCAATGGCCCGCTGTCGCTCGAAGGCGCTCAAAAACTCGGTCACCAGGTTGTCCAGGTTGGAGACGGCATGTTGAGCTCCCCACATGGAACTCTCGATGGGGCCGAAGGTCACTCTTAAACCGAGTGGATCCGAATTGAAAGGGGCAAGGTCGTTTGTAGTTTGGAGGTTCAGCTTTCAACGCATCCAAAAAGACAACCCCAAGTCCAATGCGTCCAGATTTTGTTGACATGTGTCCAATGCGTCCAGGTTACGTTGGGAAACATTTGCAGGTAGACATCAAACAAGACAGAGTGTACTTTGATGACTTTGGCCCTTGGAATACTGTAATTCTACAAAATCAGTACCACCAAATATCAAGCATACATGTGTATGATCAGTGATGGTGTTTAGCCTACAGAATGGTGGGGGTTAACCCTCCTACAGAATGCACATTTAGTAGTAAAGGGGTTTGGT